CTTCCAGTTCTTCTTCTGCTGCTGCATCATAGCTTGCTTCGCCAGACTCTCTTAATCACTCAGCCATTTAATGTTTTAACCTGGGTCCTAGATTCAGAACTCTATGAGATTTCTGTGGTGAATGTCAATAAATCAAAAGTAGGTTTGCAGGTTACAGAGCTAATGTTTTAAGCATGTTTTTATTTTAAGTTTTAAAAAATCTTTGTGTTTGTGTCCTTTATAAAGTTCATATCTCCACTACCTGGCATTACATTTTATGACACATATGGCCCGGCCCAGCAAGGTCTCATTTATGTCAGATCCGGCCCTCATAACAAATGAGTTCAACACCCCTGCTCTAGGCCATGGCATTCAGCAACCTTTCTTGGCACCCAAGTGTTTTTAGAAAGTGGATCGGTGGGGCTCGTGCTCAGCAGGGCATCTGATTCCCTAGCACTCAAACAGCAAACTGCTGTTGGCGGAAGAACACTGGAGCCTTCCCTTTCTATACGTGCTCTCACAAACAAGCTATGTATTTGGCTTTTCTGAGTCATAACGATACCTGTGCTTTGAGCTGGGGTCCCCAATCCTTTTACGCCTTCGGGCAGCTTTGGAATTTTGACACAAGAGTGGTGGGCGCAATCTCAAAATGGCTGCCACTGAGGCAGCGCCAACCGTAAAATGGCTGCCACAGGAAGGCAGAGTCACACATACAGGGGAGGCCCAAGTGCAGGGGAGAAGATGGGTAATAAAAAAATACACTGGGAAAGTGAGAAAATGAACAGTGTTGGCCGCTGCCACTGAACCAAAGTTAATCTGCATAGCCAATCAGATTGGCAGTGGTAAAACATAATTTCCCTTTCAAGAGAGTGTCAGCTTTCTGGGAAGACAACCTAGTCCCCCTGCAACGGTTACACATGCAATCTTGGTTTCCTACTCTGTTCTGTCCAGTTGTTGTCGTGACCTGCAGCAATCGGCCAGAGAAAGTTCTTCACCTATTGCAGATAAAACATGACCACGGTGGCATTTCTGTTGATCAAACCAGTTGGAGGGGAAAGATACAGAGTTCATTTCACAAGCTGGCAACCTTGACCACCAGTTGGGGCATAAACAGTTAAAAGAGACCAGTTTTCGCACTGGTGCAACAGGGAGGGGGGGGGATCCCTTCACAACACCTCTGTTCTGTGGCTTTTTGTACAGAAGAATCCCCCAGTTCCCAGGACAGGCATTTCAGGGTCAAAAAAGAGGCTCCCAATAAAACAGCTGGAGCAATCCACCCTCACTTAAGCCATCTGCCCACAGACTTGCCAATTTTTCTGTTAGGCACCGTGCCATTAGACAGGTTGATGCACAGGCTTGAGCGGGCGACAATGCTGAACATGCTATGGAAAGAGCCGCCTTGCTTATTTCTGCATATCAGACTTCAGCAAAGAAGCACAGGGCTGGTTCCAGCTGTGTCCTGCCCCCCCCGCCCCCCCGTCAAACCTCAGAACGTGCTGTTAGAAAAGACCTTTAAATAAATCGCAGCTCTCATACAAGCGAAAAGCGTACAGTAATGAAAAGACAAAACGCGTGGTTTGTGAAAATTAATTTCTTTATAAAAATACGTTTACAAAAATCAGTGGTATTACGGAAAGCAACCTATAAAAACCAAAAAAAAAGACCCCAGAAAGGCAACTTTACAGACATATGAAGACCTCTTCTTTTTCAGACGGTGCCGCTTCTGCACAACAACACACAAAACACAAGGGACACGGAGGGAAGACCTAGGAAATTCAGTAGTGGGAAGTCCCATGTGATTTCAGTAACTCAATTATCTTCCTTTATTGCAATCCACTCGCTTTCTCAGAAAGAGATGGATTAGTAATGGCAAACAGTCGTCTTTGTGGGGTTGTTTCAAACCAGGTCACTCTGCCCTAACCTTATGTGCAGGAAGGATCTGTGCATGTGTGTGTGTGTGTGTGTGTGGGGACAGGGAGGGAAGGCACCGTGTCGCTTTGACCCCACCAAGTCAACAGAGCTGTGGAAGGGGGGGGGGGGGTTAGAAAGCTGGAGAGATGTAGGCCTGCCAGCTCTGTTCCCTATAACCTAAGATGGCCCACATACAGAGGGCACCATAGCACCTGCCGTCCAGTTCCCTCAAATCACCTCTTCCTTTAAAAAAAATTAACTGGTATTCCATTCAAAATAAGACTATTGAAACAGTATTGCATATACATTCAGTTTCTCATGGGACCAACGTGAAGGTAAATGTGACCTCTGCAAGAGTGAGCCCGTGTTCCAGCCAAAGTCATAAACACTTATGAATGCAATTACTTTCATGGGGGAATGATGAAGATGCATCTGAGTTGTGACTTCTCCCATGGAAAAGAGCAGGACTCAGCGCTTTAAGCAGATTGTATCAGTTTCCTTCCAGTTGATTCCTACAGCTTCCATTTGCCTTGTAGCACGAAAGGGAGAGAGAGGGGTTTTTTTTAAACTCTCCAGCCTCCAGCACCAGCCTGTCAGGAGCATTTTAAAGGAAGCGTTCTTTAAAAACACCCCTTTTCTCCTTTTGAAAGTTAACAGCAAAACAAGGAGCCCAGTTTCAACATGGGGAAACCAAATGAACCAAGTGCCAAGGACAGTTATTCACAGTCAAAGGATGGCTGCTCACTTACCCTTTTGAGTGTTCTCTTCGAAATTCTAACCTCCAGGCCTACACATCTTTATCAAAATCTGTGGGCAGCAGTTGATTGCAAAACAAGCAAGTCCTCCTTGGTGTGTGTGGAAGCGGACGCCCCCCCAGGGTATGTGCAACAAGCACTAGTTCAGGGAAACGCTTGGCCTTATCAGTCCAGCAGGCTCATAAAAACACAGCTTTTACAAGATATATTTGGTGAAAGAGGTGATTTTAGTTTTCTGGCCTGGACTCTTGGGCCCTTTTTTGGCATTCTATTTCTGAATCTGCGTGAGCATGAACGAAACAAAGTCAGTACCAACTTTCTGCAGATGAAGACACAAAAATTGTGGAAATTCTGGTAATAAGACAGTGCTGACCACCAAGCTGGAACACACACACACTTAAGAAATTGTAGGCGTCCTTAAGTAGCTTGTTTTACTTTAATTGCCTACTCTCTTTTTTGTGTGTCTCTTAGTGATTCTGTTATGTGTATTTTATATTTCTATGTTGTATATTTTGTAATATCTTATTTTGGTGCTCCTTGCTGAAGTGTTTGGATTGTTCTGGCTGGATGCCGTAATCAAATCTCTTCTTCCTCTGCCAAAGAATTTGTCTAAGAACACTTAAAAACAGAGATGCTTCATACCCAAACATATAAAGAAAAAATGTTTTAAAAAACTTTTCAACAGAGGTACTTGGCTGTCAATATTCTTAAGTTTCGAAACCAAAGTCGGGAGAAGGGAGGGCAAGAGAAAGGATATATAGAAAACAGGTTACTCTACTGCTTCCCCCCTTACACACACCAGCCCTGAAAGGCTGCCGTGGCAAAGACTACTAACTCCAGTTTGCACCAGGATTCACTAATGCAAGTCCCTGAAATACAAAAATCATATGTGCTACCTACTTTCTGCTAAGATACCACCGGGAAAGGAGAGAAATGCTTAAACCAGGCACTCTAACATAGCCCCTGAGAAGTCACCCGGTTCGATCATTTTACCGTGTCCTAAAATATTAAGAGAAAATGGAAAGGGGGGGGGGTGAATAACTGAGAAGAAATAATCCTTTAATGGCAGAGCTGTCTGCTAAGCTGTGTGTGTGTGGGGGGGGTGATGACGACACGACACAGCCTCATCTGCTCTTGTGCTTTTAGCAGCAACGTGACATGCAGAAATCAAGCAAGTGAAACTTTTACGTAGCATAAACATTACGAGAAGCAATATCCTGGCCATCAAGCGACTGTCACAAGTTACGGACAGAAGGGCTAGTTTAGAAGATGTCAAGTCAAACAACGTGATGCGCAAGTATTAAGCAGGCGAAGGTTTTCCTGGCATGGAGAGAAAGCAGTGGGACTGAGCCTCACATGCTAAATACGCCTGGATACCTGGCTGCTGGCAAAAAGCAGGAGCAGTAAAAAAGTGACACTGCAAGCATCAATTTGGTGCTTTGGAAGCAGCGAAAACATGGATCGTTCAGTGGTTGCGTTGGCCTTTTTCGTTTCAACGATGACTTCTCCCCAAAACCATGTGATTTATACTTGCTGGAGCAGCCAAACAAGGACGCTTGCCATTTCAAGTACATCTGCAGCACCACAGCCTTCGACCTTCTCCAGGTCGCCAGCTTTTTGTGAACCAGCTCCTGTGCCGATTTTGGAGGAAAGGTCGGTTGGCAAACCTACCTTCAGCATCCATGCTTAAAAATGGCTTTGCTGGGCTCAGACAGTCCATGCACATGAATGTTTCATTCTGGGCCAATACATTTCTTTAGAAACAAAAACAAACCCTGAAGCCATCAAGATTGAAGGACACATTTGGAAACATCCCAAGGTACAACTTTCCCAGAATTTGCACTGTCTCAGAGGTTAGGAAAAGGATCCCTATTTGCACACTTCCCTACATGGTGACTTCACCAAATGCGGAAAGCTAGCAAATCAGGAAGAGAGATTTGGGGCTTCCGCTATGGGATCCCACCCATTTGCAGTCAGGAAAGGTACAACCATAGGAGGGGCTGTTGTGGTTCATCTTTCCAGATGTGGAAATCAGTGTAAAAGCTTGCCAATTTGGCAATTTCCATGCAAGAGTGGCACTGAGTAATTATTGTCTTCAGAAGCTGTGCGGTTGCGAGCAGTTGTATGAGGCCAGGGCTTCTGTGACTCCCATTCTAGGACTGAGAATTGTGTTGCATTTTGTTACAGTTTCATAAGCACAGATGGGCGACCTTTAACCATCAGTCCTTTCTTGCAAAAGGGGACAGAAGGGAGTCAGGGTCATTGGCTCCTCAGCAGCACCAAAACTCTGAACGCTCAGGAAATATGTAAGGAATCGGCATGGGCGCTCCTGTTCTGTGGACAGTTCTTCCAGTTCTACGATTCTTCCAGTTCTGAAGATAGTTGATTCTCCCCCCACTTTTTAGAAGACGAGACCAAGAAAGCACCAAAGAAACTCGCCTCGTTATCCATGTCCACCAGCTCCTCGTTATTGATGGAGACAAAAATCCGGTCGTTTTCTTTTAGCTGAAACACACCCCCTTGGTAGATGGAATACAGTCCATACCCTGCCTTTTTAGACCAACAGCTGGTCCTGGCGCTTTTCATCAGCAAGATGGGATCCGGGTAGTTTGTGAACTTGGAGATGTATTGGACCATCTGCTTAGGGTTTCTGACACTGTCCGAGTCAGGCTCGGCATCAGGGAGCACGCCGTCTGGTTCCCGGAACCGGAAGTAGGTTTGTGAATAGATGTAATAGAAGCCCGTCTGGGGTATGATGAGTTCCCCGTTCCTCAGGTCGACGTTGTAGAGGAAGGAATGAGCGCCTCTCGAGGTCTCCCACGTGTTAATTTTGGTCCCGATGCTGCTTCTGAATGAAGAATCTGTGACAGGGTGGAAAAGAAAGAACAGAGCTCTTTGAGGGATATGTCAATCAGAACAAACCCCAGTTCCAAAATCCCACATTGTTACGTGCCAAATGGATATTCTTGTTGATTTCCCACCCCCCCATCCAGTGTTGTCTACACCGGGGGGAGGAGCTTTTTGAGCCTGCAGACCCCTCTGGAATTCTGACACAGGGCAACAACAACAAAATGGCTGCTTCAGGAGGTGAACCAAACCACAAAATGTAAGGGAGCAAGGTAACTGTAATAGTTACTCTTCAGTACTTCAGGCAAACATTCTGGCTTGTTCCATGAATCAACTTGGATTAAAAAAATACCCACTGGAAACTGGAGTGGAAAACAATTTCTTCTTCTTGTTGTTGACAAGTTAAAGGAGAAATCAACACCACAGATATTAAGAGGGAAATTATCTACTCCAGGTTTCTTCAACCCAGTTTCTTTTTTTTTTTTAAGCTACCTGTCTCTACTACCAAATCGTACATTATGTTTTCGTGGGTGCCTCAAAACATGAACATTTGCAGCTAAAAGCAGATGACAGATTTTTGTTGTGATAAGTTTTCTGGGACAGTGTAATAAACCCCATTTAAAAAAAAAGAAATGGCGGCAAAAACATGCATGTTATTCTTCTTAATGAAAGACATTCCCCATTTCCTGCTATTTCTAATTGTAACAGCACAATTACCATCAAGCCAATGAGCAGATGTACCCATCAGCCTCAGGTGGGTGACAATCAGTAACAGAACACTGGCAAGTGAATAATTCTCCTGATCTTTGGTACATTTAATCACTTTTAGCAAGGTAATGGCGCCCCTTACTTTGAGAGACTAAAGTGCGCTTCCTGTTGGCAGTTAAGTGAGCCGCCACTCTGGGCACAGAATTCTCAGCTGCTTCTCTTTCCACTGTGGTGGGACTTCGAGGTTTGTCACCTGAAGGAAAATAAAGAAAACTGTCAGCATTTTTGTCTTCGGCTAGAATCATAACAGAAAGGCAAACTGCGTGCTGGGGATTATTAGGAAAGGGATTGAGAATAAAAAGAATTGAGAATAAAGAAGAAGAAGAGTTGGATTTATACCCAGCCCTCCACTCGGGAGTCTCAGAGCGGCTCACCATCTCCTTCCCTTCCTTCTCCCCACAACAGACACCCTGTGAGGTAGGTGGGGCTGAGAGAACTCTTGAGAGAACTGCTCTTGAGAGAACAGCTCTGAAAGAACTTATAACTGACCCAAGGTCACACCAGCAGCTGCATGTGGAGGAGTGGGGAATCAAACCCGGTTCTCCTAGATTAGACTCCGCGCTCCTGACCACTACACAAAAATGGGAGGTGGGATCCATCTATGGTTTCTAGCTGTAGAGAATAAAGGGAACCTCTATATTCAGAGGCAGTAAAACCTCTGAAACCCAGTGCTAAGAGGCAACATCGGGGGAAGGCCTTGGTGTCCGTGCCCAGTCTGTTGGCCCTCCTAGGCAACTGGCCGGCTGCTGTATGAAACAGGATGGTGCACTAGATGGACCACTAGTCTGATCCAGCAGGGCTCTTACGTTCTTAACCATCGCACCAATCAGAGTTCCTCTGCTCATTTCCGGAAGTCTCCAGTTAAAGAATCTCGACTGATGGGTATCGGGGAAAGCGAGTGCCTGAAAACCCCGGAGGCCTCTTTCTAGGTAGAGTTCTGAGCTACACAGACCAATGTTATGTGACTGTGTGAAGCAACTTCACATATTCACTGCTTTTTGTTTATGCACAAGTCCAGAAGGGCCAGTTCTGGTCCCAGATTCCCCCCAGCTTACACCTTTTCAAATTCATACTGAAACCCAGATACCTGAACACCACTCGCTTACAGCCAAATTAGTATGTTCACAGCTGACCTAGCATCTGTTTGGGTTTTTTTAAACTGATTTGTCAGTCATTCACCATCAAAGAGTTTCTAGTAAGAGCACCATTTGGGTAGGGGAATAAAACGCATCGCTGCATTAGTACCTTTTGCCGTGGCAGCGGTTTTTTCCATGTAGTTCTTGGAGATCATCTGCAATTGCAAGTGGTATCTCATTAGCTTTCCCCTCCCAAGAATTCCAGAATATTAAAAATAAACAAGGATAGTGTGTTATTTTCTCCTCCCAACTCCAGAGAAACAAACCCAGGTCCCTGCCACACGGGGGGGGGGGGAGAAGCGCGGGCCAAGTGCAGCTTTTGAAAGCCGCACCAAAATAGACACGCGGCGGGATCATACAGATCCCGTCAGCCACCACGCAGTTGCTCCCCGGCACGATCAGATGCCGGGGAGACCGGGGAGAAAGCAACGAGATGGAGACGGAGGCTGCCGAACTGCGCATGTGTGAGCATGCGCAGTTCGGCCAGGGGTCTTGGATGCGCCGGCAGAAGGACGCGCTGGCGATCCCACGGCCGTGCTTGATGCGGCCGTGCTGGTAAGTCCACCTCTGAAGGTGGTTTATTTTAGATGCGGCTTTTCGGCCTGAAGGGCCGGATCGGGGACGGGTGCGCAACGTTTCCCAGATGTTGCGGTGGGATCACGCCCGTTTGCTCCGCCCCCCATCCGTCCCTCTCCCGGCCCAAAACCTTTCGTGTGACCGGGGCCCCAGATACTTAAAAGAGAAATGCAGCCAGTCATGACCATCGGACTTTTTGGGTACAGATTCTTCAGCTCTTATGTTGGCCCATGTTACCTGGTAATAACGTTTGCCTCTAAGCTGCAAAAAAATTCACTTGCAGAGCTGGACTTTTCCCTTCAAATCAGCCGGCAATCCCCCCAAAACCTGTCGCTGCTAGCTTGCATTGCTTATTCGGGCCTTCTTCCATAAAGCTGAGGGCGGCTTGCGTGGTTTCTCCTCCTCTAGTTTATCCTCACAATGGCAACCCAGTGAGGTAGGTTAGGCTGAGAGAAAGTGAATGGCCCACGGTCACCCAGTGGGTTTTATGGTGAATGTGGATTTGAACCTGATCTTCCAAGGCCTGTCCAAACACTCTGGCCTCTTGAAAGACTCTGAAACCACCACTAAAAAGAAACAATCACCTACAAGCAGTCGTGTGTGACATGAACGGAAGCTCTTGTAAACTTTAGGTTTTGACTGTTTTGTTTTCACCTGATATCACAGTTACCTTTTTAATTAGCCTGGACAGCTGCCACTTGACTTGCCAGCAGGGGTCGCTGTCCTCATTATAACTTGGATCCAGGTCCTCTAGGAAGAAGTTTTCTCTAGTAAAACAGGCAAAGCTGCTTTTGGAGTAGGTCTCACGGAGCTGCATTTGAGAAACAAAAGGCAATAGTTTGTTGATCTCATGCAATTCAGCAGATGGGAAGATCTCTGTCACAGTGAGGGACAAAGTCTACAGATAAAACAAAGCACTTTAAAATAGAAAGTATCCACTGAAAGAGTCCTCCACAAATTATTGTTGAAGAGGATTAACCAGTTACATTTTGCCTTTATCATTTTTACCACATCTCCTACCACTTGTTACTCTTGATTAATTCTGTTCATACACTGCTCCATTTGCAATTTTACAACACACGAGAGACAAATTACCATCAAGCCAAGTGGGAGTTATTTCTGAGTAAATGCGGACTGGGTTATATAGTATGCTACTGGTTTTGTTATTTATTACAAGAAACTCTGGAGGCAAAGGTTTTTGAAACGGAATCGGATAATTTTTTTTAAACCAAGAATTAAAAATCTGCCATTTCTTAACATATATTGAAGGTTGGTTCCCCCCCCCCCCCCCCAATTTTTTTGCTCCGCACACGGAGACACAAAAACAGAGGGAAAACAGAGTAGGCTTATATTGCAGAGAAGACAGGCTCACAATAAACAGGCTCGCAATAAACAGCAGACCAATTCATATGCTAAAGAAACGCATATTAGTCTACATTTAATCCTGAACCAGGACTTTGGTGTGTAGATCATTAAATCCACACATGGGAGTCAGATACCAAGTAGTGAGATGTCTGTACAAGCCTAGGTTTGCACAGAAATCCAAAAAAGAGGGGGGAAATTGACTTACAGGCATAAAAACCAAGATCTCACAATTCTACAGCGCAAGATGTCAGGCAGCGTTTTGAGGGAACAAAAGGGAGGAGGAGCTGCTGCCCAAGACAGGCACATGGCGTTGGCGCTCGGAGGGGGAGGGGGAACTGCCCCCACTTGCCCACTGGGCAGGGAAGGCAGGACCCCCATGGCACCGTGCAAGCTAGAGGTACTGCAGGTTGGCAGTGTGACTGGTGAGGGGGTAGCCCAGTTGGAGGGATTGGATTCCCCCTGTGAGCCTCACGGATCCCTCATTTTGTTATGTCTAGTCCTAAACAATGGCCTTAGAATGAAGATTTAAAAAATCTGCAAAATGGGGCCATGTACAGATAGGGCATATTTTTCTACTGGGGGGGAGGAAGCCCCCAGGTTTGTATAAAATTATTAGTTTTTTTAAAAAAATACATTGTAGTTTTTTTTAAAAAAAAACTAAAATCATAAGAGGAATCCCTGCTTCTTTACGAAAGGAATGCCATCAGATCTGGGAGAGGGACAGTGAGACTAATAAAAGGTAAAAGGTGGGAGGAATGGAAGGGTAAAGCTTGAGGGGTGGAGCCGATAGGGGAAAAGGGAAGGTGAAGATGAGGGAGGGGAATAAAAAAGGTTGGCGAGGAAGAGGCTGCCAGGGGGAGGAAAAGAGGAAAAGGAGAGAAGGGAAGAGGAAACGAGACTCCCCCCAAGACTCCTCAGTGGTCCCCCATTTGTAAAACCAATTGTTATCAAACAGATAGATGCAAACCTAACAACATAGAACATACTCTTCCACAATTTAGCAAACTTCACAAGAACAAATCAGGGAGTCGAAGAGCTGGACTCCAGGGGCCTCGCTTGTTCAAGTCTACTTGCAATTAGTCGAGCCTCTCAATTTCCACAATGGGCTGGCACACTCCTACTGGGCCCTATAGCAATCCTTTCATATGCCAGCGTTGCACGTATGGGGGGGGGGAATGGATTATACCTAAAGATGTGGATTACACCTTTGGAACGGCTCTGGAGAAAAATGTGTATGAAAAGAATCATGTGGCTCCTGCCAGGTGAGGCTCTTTGGACCACTGCCCCCCAATGTGACAGCTGCCCGTGTCAGGAAAGCCAGCAAGGTCCTTGCCCAATGGGGGTTGAAGCTGACGAGTGGTTTCCACCTTGAAATAGCCACTGTCAGAGAAATGGATATGCCGAGTCTTCTGTTCATACCAGGGATGGAAGTAAATGTGATTCTTTCAGTGGAGCCCTAAAAAGCATGAAGATGTAGAAGTGCATACCCATGAGCATCTAAATTGGCTACCAGTAGGCTGTTTTGTGCACGGACCTTCCCTGACTAGCACCCAGATCTGCTGTTGCTTTCTTCCACATTCCAACAGTGTGCTGGCCCGTCATGGTTTTCATTATGTGCCTTAACTGTATGAAGCCCGTCATGATCCGTAAGTGCCAAAATGCAATTTGGGAAATCGAACCCTCTTTAGATACATCCAACCATCCATAAAACGTGCCGAGTGGGGTGTTCCAGATCCCCACTGCTGTTGCCCGCTGAGCCCACTAAAATTTTGTTTCTGGGGGACCAGTAGATCCTCAGTAATACCACAGGGACAAAGTTCGCAGTGTGGGGGTGTGTTAACTTATGGTGGCCCTATGTCTTCCAAAATGTCCTATTGTCAACAGCCTTGTTCAGGCCTTGCAGACTGAGGTCCATAGCTTCTTTAAATGAGGCGATCCATCTCATTTTGGGTCTTCCTCTTTTCCTGCCGCCTTCAACTCTTGCTAGCATTAACGTCTTTTCCAGTGACTCTGGTCTTCGAGTTTGCAGTGGGAGAGTGGAAACTGGTGGAAACTGTCAGCCAATTTCCTGCGAATGGAACCGTCATTGTTGAGAGGAATGGTGTGGTTGGATACATGTAAGACTATCATTAGACAGAGCGCTGGAGGCATATCAGTTGGCTCTTGGCAGGTCTCACAGCGTATACTCCACGCTATTCTTTAATATCACACCCCCTTCACCCTTCCATCTTGTTTTCATCAACTGGCTGTCCCCATATATGAGAGGGCCTTTCTTTTGGCTAAGCGAAATGCTTTCCCCTCTGCTGTTTTGGTGGGTTGATTCTGAGGAGTACCCTAGTGAGATTGATTACATCCATAAAGATCTGGGGTGAATGAATTTTGATCTTGTATTTTCTTTGTGTGTTGGCTCCCTGTTTGAAGGATCTGTGGATACAGCCAGTGATCGTTTTCCAAGGTTGCACTTGTTTTTGTGTCTTCCCTGCCAGCTGATTTTGATCGTGGCATTATTTGGGCTGTGGCTAAATTTCTGGCAAATACACCGATTTGGTGTAGTGGTTAAGAGCACAGACTCTGGGAGAGCCAGCTTTGATTTCCCATTGGTGTGACCTTGGGTCAGTCATAAGTTCTTTCAGAGTTGTTCTCTCAAGCACAGTTCTCGAGAAAGCTCTGAGCCCCACCTAGCCCACAGTGTGTCCCTTGTGGGGAGGGGAAGGGAAAGAGATTGTAAGTTGCTCTGAGACTCCTTCAGGTAGCGAAGGGCGAGATATAAACCCAATCTCCTCTTCTTCTTGTTCTTCTTCTTTGTGAGGATGGAAAGGTGGCATTTGGAAGACTGGTTCTGTCCAAGACCATTGGATTATTGTTAAACAAAGATGAAGTAACAGCCTCTAACTTCACCGTGATGCTTACTAAGTTGTCTTTGAACAATCAGGTCCCCCCCAGCCTCAAGACTCATGGAACAATTCTGTGTATACTTACCTGGGAGTAAGCCCCATTGAATATAGCAGGACACGTTTCTGAGTATGTGCCTAAGATTACACTATCACCTACTTCAAAAGTCATTTGTCCAGCTATGCATGATCATATGAGCCTCCCGAAGTTTTGCAAATTAGCAGTGCAGAACCTTTTGGGTCACACAGAACCTGGTAATCCAGAAGCACTTGAATGGGACAACAGTATGGAAAAATGCTGAGCACTGGCATGATCATACCCTACACTGTATCTTATGTATCCCTCCCCAAAAACCTCTTGCAGTTATAATCTTGCCTTCTTCACATCCCAAGGACTCATCTGAAAACCTTGCCTGGATACAAGGTACTTGAGCCACGAGCTGAAGCAATATCTACTGAGTGGGCTGGATCCCTAAACTGGCCCAGCATGTTGGTTATCAGATCAAAAGCTCTGGATACAAGGTAGTGCCCCCCACTCCTTTTTTGAAGGTGAGCTGTGTAACAACTAGGAGCAGAGCCTTTTCAGTCATGGCACCCCACTTTGGAATGCCTTCTACTTGGGTGATCACGGGCTTTGGATTTATTCTTTCCAGTACAGAAGAATTGTTTATTCTCTACCCCAGGACTTCCAGTCAGTTTCCCCCCTTTTCTCCCCCTCTGTATTACTGGCTTTAACAGTGTAAACCTTTGCAGAGTGATTTCAGTGGGTCCAGGCCGGCGTAACTCTGCTGTGAATTGCACTGTTAGTCCGTTCTTTTTAAATTTATTACTGTTATTATTGCTTTTAACGCTTCTGGTTGTGTCCAGTGTTTTCTGCTGTTTAAATATGGTTTTAAATTATGTTTTTTATTACTGTGATTTTAATATTTTGGTAGCCATTCCAGGAAACAAGTTTTGGGGGGTTATAAAGTTTTTTGGGAAATAAATTTATCTGTGGCAGATCCTTTCATTCGTGGAGAGACAAGTTATGGATTGACATTGGGAGGCTGAATTTATATTTAAATTTATAGCAATAACTTATTCACCAACATTATGACTGGAAATTGCTAGAAATTAACTACATGGCAAAAACAAACAAAAAAGCCATCGGATTAAAAAAAAGAAAAAAGAAACGCATCATACTTTATTAACAGAAGGAATATCTATCTTCTCTTTTTAAAAGAAAACCAGCAAAACCAGTCAGTTTGGGCCAAAAGACAAATAATAACTTTACTATGGAATTTCAGACTGAGTTTCCAAGACCTTTCGGGTGCTCCGGCGCTCAAAGGAAGTCCATTCCAGTTTCAAAGCAGGGGCTGCATCTTTCCCGCCACCATTTCGTTTTCACCAAGGGAGGGGGCACCACCTACAGGAGCAAAACAACAGCGTGTTTAGGGATGCTGCGTGCTCAGCCACTGCTCCCATGCATCCTCCTCCTCTGCTGAATCCCCAGCATACAATACCAAGCCATAACACAACCATCATTAACTGTACCGTGTTGTAAAGATTCCCAGTCATAGCAGCCAGCTGTGGATTCTTCTCCCCACGAGCAGTTTCAGCATCATCCCTTGAAGACCTGCAATTCACAGGAAGAACAAAAATAAAACCTCCTTCAGGCCAGACCTATCGCCTCAGCCCCTCCACCTCACCCCAGCTAGAATCTGCAGTCCTAGCCAGAGTTGCTCTGACCTGGATAGCCCAGGCTGGCTTGATCTCCTCAGATCTTGGAAGCTAAGCAGGATCGGCCCCGGTTAGTATTTGGATGGGAGACTGCCACAGAATACTAAGGTCACGATGCGGAGGCAGGCCATGGCAAACCACCTGAAGGTCTCTTGCCTTGAAAACCCTACGGGGTGGCCATACGTTGGCTGCGATTTGACGGCACTTTCCACCACCCTATGCAGAGTTACCCCCATAGATGTTAATGATCTGAGACTGAAGTAACTCCACCCCGCTTGTCAATTAAATGGCTGGATCTGTTTATCACTGAAAAGACGCTCCCAAATGATCTAGGTTCTAAAACATTCAGAATCCACTTCTGCAGCGCCATCGTAGAAGAGGCATCCTCCCTGCTGCTGAACGCAGTGGAGAATGCCTCTTCTACGGCCAGTGTGGTTTAGTGGTCAGACGAGGGACTGGGGAAGCCTGGATTCAGTCCCATTCAGCCATAAAGCTCAGTGGGTAACCTTGGGCCAGTCTCTCTCTCTCACCTCCCTTATTGGGTTGTTGGAAAGATAAATGAGACCTATGTAAGTCACCCAGAGCTCCTTGGAGGAAGGGTGGCATCCAATAAATATTTTGTGCTGCAGGCAGGAATCCCGTTCAGACAAAGGAAACATGTTCTTCCCTTCAAAGAATGACCGTTTGTCTCATATTTCTGAATTACCCGAGCAGCTAATTCTTTAACTAGGCAACAATCCTGATTTGCATACCTACCCACGCATTTGTCAACGGGAGTCGTCACCAGCTCTTCGGCTTTCCTCCTCCACAGAATTCAAAAAGTCTTCCCAAAACGAAGTTCTGCGGCAACTCCTTCCTCCTCCCTGCCTCTTTCTCTCCTTCTCCCCTCCTTTCTCTCTCTCCATGTTATTGCTTCTTCAGGGTCCTTTCATGCCATCCCCCCAAACAAGTGGCTTTATGTGTCCCCCAGAAACACATTCGCTGTGGTGGTCTACAATTACACAACTATGGATTCTGAAAGGAAGCGCGCGGGCGCCCCAGTTCTCGCTACACACAGTGCCTTGCTTCCCCATCCTCTGTGACGCTCCGTTCCACACACACACCTCCTACGAAAGACAAAACACAAACAGAACAGGGCTGCCATTTTCGTCGCCAAAGTTAGGATCTTTTACACAGGAAAGGAGATTTCGAACTGTACAAAGCAACAAGAGAAGGCACAAAAAACCTCTACACGTGCTTGGGAGGTATGAAAGACTGTAGGATCCGTCTTTAAAAAGTAGAGTTGCTTCCCTCCGGGTGGCACCTGGAGCTCTCCCGCTATTGTAATTTCTCTTCAGATGCCCACGATTAGTTCCCCTGGAGAAAATGGCTGCTTTGGAGGGTGGACGCTATGGCATTATACTCCGCTGAGATGTCTCCCCTCCCCAAACCCTGCCTTCCCCAGACACCACCCCTCCAAATCTCCAGGTATTTTCCAACCAAGAGCTGGCAACGCTATTGAAAAAGGGCCCAAAAATCCCAGGCTGGCCACAGAGATGACCAGAATTGGCACAAGGTTGAAGCACTGGCTCTATGCAACCACGCTTGAGTCTCCTCCCTTTCTCTGCAGTTAGCCAGAAACATCAGCAGAGACGATTTCCCCTTTGACCTGACCTGTTATAACAGGATTCCTCCCCCAAGCAAGACCGGGGGTGGGGGAATCCGACAGCCGTCCTCTGCCTGCCTGCTAAGCAGTTTCTCATACTGTATGAGTCAACATATTGTACCAACACTAGGCAGGGTAAAGTACAGCATCAGCGCGCAGGAGAGCAGAAAGTGTTCCGGCCTGGCAGAAACAGCTCAACATTAGCCCTCGTCTGTCCTGCCCTCAGTTCAGGCTCCCCCCTTCAAGCCAGTCCTCTAAACCAGTGTTTCCTAACCAGTGGGCTGGAACCTAGAAGTGGGTGGCAGAGCCTCTGAAAGTGGGTCACGGGGCCAGGTCTCCCAAATGGCCGCCTCTGTCTTTGCCATTGTTCTGTTTTGAATTCTGGAAACCAAGATCTGATCCTGGAAACAGTATCTCCCAGACATTAGTTAGCATTTTTCTTCTTCACAAATACAGTCATAAAAGGTGCCCTGATGGTGGTTACTACAGGGACTTTCTTCAAATCTTAGGAGGGTTTAGAGCACTGTTCCCTCTAAGCTGAGTTAGTGTGAGCTAGCTCACAGATTTTTAGCTTCTGGCTCACACATTCTTGTCTTAGCTCAGGAAACATGGCTCTAGAGCAAGCTAATTTATGCAGCAGGCAAATCGCTCGCTCACAGTAGCTCACAAAGTAGAATTTTTGCTCACAAGACTCCACAGCTTAGAGGGAACATTGGTTTAGAGGACGTTATGGAGAAGGAGAGGGTGGTCGGAGGCTGGAACGTAACCATACACAAAGGCTGTGTATGTCAGAATGCCACCTGCTTTGTGTTCACAGCAGGGGAAGTGGCATCTGTTGTGTCTTGCCATTGACATGTAATGTAAAGCTTGAAACCTCAGCCGGATTCTAATCTGGAACAACACCATTGGCTGAAGCGTGTTATGTAACCAATCAAATGTAAGAGTCTGTGCTGGAGGGAAGACAAATGATTGGATGTTATCTTTACAATGTGATTGGATGTTAACTATGAGAGGGCGTGGCTACCCCAGCCCGGGAGAGTTTAAAAGGAGCTGTGCTCCACTGTTGTTTTGTGGTGTGTCGTCAGATGTTGTGTGATCATGGAAGTTTTTGTTCTTAATAAAGCTGAATCACTTACTTCGTTGTTGAGTTGCATACTTAACAGCACCCTTTGTGTGATATATGTTGGTTCACCACTATAGATAATGGAATGCTGAACTAGGCGGGTGCCGAAGTCACCATTTGCCTAGGATGCCTAAAAGCCTTGGGGCAGCATACCAAGCAAATGTGGATTCACGGGTCACCATATCAAAATGTTTGGGAACCACTGCTCTAAAGCCTTCAGGTCAGGTGTGAAGCCACTGCAATCTATGAGGGGCGGGGGACAATAAAGCAGATGGGGAATAAAAAGACTGCTCAAGCATGAAGTCCACTCCTCACATTCTTCTTCTGCTAAAGCCAGAAAGGAATTTCTTAAGCTCCAAATCCTGCTGCATTCCGACTCAAGGACAAAACTCCTCCAGGGCAAAATTCTTGGTCAGTCAGGCCTTTCCAAAAGCTTCATAGTAGCATGAAATGCCACAAAAATCAAGATTCCGTTCCAATATCCCGGTATATTTGCATGTGGTGTTCCCAGGTACGTATCCCCTTTATACCATTCCAGATCGAGCATTATCCTGTTTTCTTCACAATTCCGTTGTATACTGAAACTGCAAACTGGGTTACAAATTTAACCCATTTCTTAAATTTTCCAAGGGTCCAAAGTTTGCAATGTGCTAAGGCTAAAATACTTCATTCACGTACTCTACTTCCAGTTGGGGTTTAACTTGCTTACCAGTAACGATTCCAGTGGGGTTTGCTGTGGCAAAAACTGAACAAGAACAAGTGAAAGGGATACCACTACATTTTACCACAGAATGATAATTGATACGGGATGGCAATTGTTTAACTCAGGGGTTCCCAACTTTTTTGAGCCTGGGGGCACCTTTGGACTTCTGATACAGCATGGTGGGTGAAGCCACAGAATGGCGGTCGCAGGTGGAGCCAGCTACAAAATGGCTGCTGCAGCTTACCTTCAGGCACACAGTGAAGATGAGAAGAAGAGTTGGCTTTTATACCCCACTTTTCTCTACCCTAAGGAGTCTCAAGGCGCTGCGGTGGCTCAAGTGGTTAAGATGCTGAACTGCAGGCTGTGGAAGGTTGGTAGTTCAGCAGTTCGAGACCCGAGTGTGCCGCATGACGGAGTGAGCTCCCGTCTCTAGTTCCAGCTCCTGCCAACCTAGCAGTTCGAAAGCAAGAAATTGCAAGTAGATAAATAGGTACCACTTCGGTGGGAAGGTAACAGTGTTCCACGCGCCTTGGTGTTTAGTCATGCCAGCCACATGACCACAGAAATGTCTTCGGACAGCGCTGGCTCTTCGGCTTTGAAACAGAGATAAGCACCGCAACCCTAGAGTCGGACTCGACTGCTTTAGAGCAAGGGAACCTTTACCTAAGGAGTCTCAAAGCGGCTTACGATCCCCTTCCCTTCCTCTCCCCACAACAGGCACCTTGTGAGGTACGTGGGGCTGAATTGTGATGGGCCCAAGGTTCCCCAGCAGGCTTCATGGGGAGGAGTGAGGAATCAACCCGGTTCTCCAGATTAGAGTCCGCCACTCTCAACTACCACACCGCCTTGTCTGGTGGTGGGCAGCTGCCGTCAAAGCAACATTTCTAAAAATCCGCAGAGGCAATCCAATCTCCAATGGGCCATCAGAAGCTTTGCTGGCAAATGCCCCACCTGGCCCCACCCAATCTCTTAAAACACCTGGCGGGTGCCTGGAAAGGTGGCTGCCACTGTGGCGCCCACAGGGACCGTGTTGGGGACCCCTGGTTTGACTAGTCCCTCTAATACCAGTATGATCAGAGGCAAATACAAGGGGATGCTATTTACCTTCATGCCATGAAAAGCTTCAACTGCCCATTTCTACATATTAAGCCTTTATTAACGGATGGAGCCGAGCATTTTTGTCCTGGCCGCCTGGCAACCCTATAATTGAGATTCGCCTTTAGGAATATAAGAGGTCTATAGCCCAAACGACTAGAATTACTGTCATGTAATTTTAGCGATTACAGGCTGCTGAAAATCCACAACGTGCCCAACTCTGGAATTTAGCTAGGCTCCTCTGCTACAGCTAGAGCAAATGGGCAAGATCTAGCAGAGTTTTAAAAACGTTCTTCAACATACGGACACGGAGCTACCTTATACTGAATCAGACTGTCGGGTCCATCGATGCCAGCATTGCCTACTCTTGACTGGTAGTGGCTCTCCAAAGTCAGAGGATGAGAACATTCACGTCACAGATAGGATCCTTTTAACTGGAGATGCTGGGGATTGAACCTGGGACCTTCTGCACACCAAGCGGATGCTCCGCCAGTGAAACACAGCCTTTGTCCAATTCCACTGACACCCACCAAATACGCAACATTATCTTCGGGTTAGGGGGAAGGGCTGTGGCTGGGCATCTGTTTGGCCTGCAGAAGGTCCCAGGTTCAATTCCCGTCATCTCCGGTTAAAAGGACCAGGCAGTAGGTGATGGGAAAGACCTCCACCTGAGACCCTGGAAAGCCACTGCCAGTCTGAGTAGCCAGTACTGACCCTGGTGGACCCACGGTCTGATTCAGTATAAGGCAGCTTTGTATGTGTTCACAGGATGCCCCACAAACATAAAAGTAGGGCATTAATACAGCACTGCAAACAAAGCCACTGATTCATGATACATGCATATGCTACACTGTTCTGAAGCATCCGTTCAAGTGAGACCCCTGTCTCTGGCAGTTATCAGCCAAGTCAGTGTAAGATTTGATTCCTATTTGTCATACGCCCCACTTTTTTTAAAGGCCTAAGGTAGAAATACAGGATCCGGGATTGTATCTAGAGGGCACCGTGAGCAGTATAAAAGAACTTTTCCCTCCGCTGCCTGTCAGAAGTCATTGTAAGTAAAGAGGAGGGGCTATTTCATCTTCCCGAGAATGCCCCAATCGTCTAGAGAAAAAGGAAGCAGGAAAAAACTGAAGGCTAGCCAGTGCATGGTTATTTCCAGGCAGTGACTCAGAAGCTCGATGTGGATGCCACACAGAGCTATGTTTGGACAAATCCTAATTTAGAACCCAACCGGCCTAAACTACAGGCTCACGATAGGCAG